CTTAGCAACGTACACAAAACAATGTAAAGACCGCCCGACGTGAAGTAAATAAACCAGTAGAGAGGTGCTGTTGTTGATAGCATCAGCGTGTGCTAGTCACAATAGATTTCCAACGTAATACACCATAAGTTAGTTTGTAGAGCATGCTGTTTTACCGTGGCCAAATGAATTACGTCATCAATCAAGCTTATTAAAAAAGAAAATCGCACATGTGCGACTAAATAAATTTTCCAGTTCACACACACCTATTTTTAGTCGCTATTGCAAGTGAAATGGTCGCACCATCGAGCGTTGGAGAAAATCTCTTGACAAAAAACACACTGGGGTCTATTGACTCCCCTGCAGGTAAAACCAAACCAGCCTGATCTCATGAGAAAACTTAAGTATTTTACGTTTTGCCAGTTTAGTGGCTAATTTGTACGAATTCGTACGAATTCAGTCGTATGGAAATGTATGATTTTAAAAAGGAGGCGTGGCACCTAACCCCACCCCTAAACCCAACTGTCATTGGGGGATGAGCACATTGTACTAAAATGTACGAATTAGATCGTACGAATTCATATTAATTAGCCACTAAATGAAAAAGTTACGAATTGCCGTGAGATTGTGTTGATCAAACGCAATGTAAGATTTGTCATATTTTCTGGTTTTTGCCTTAGTGTTCGCCAAGTCAGATATGCATGAACTGCTTGCGGGAGCGGGGTTCTTTAAAAATCTTTCCATCATCTGTACTGCACTTACAGCCGCTAATTTCTCCATTCAACTGTAAAAATGCAAAATGTAAAAAAAACTGCAAAATGTTAAAGAGAGCAAAGGATTTAGGGATAAACACATTACAATTAAGTGTCCACTTATATAAATCATAAAACTATATATATATATATATATATATATATATATAAATAATTGATAGTCATTAATAATTTCAGGATCCAAAAAAAATTTATATTATTTTTAAAAAGATTTTTTGATTCTGGCAGGTTTTTCGCGGAACCCCTAGCACTTTCTTGCGGCCCACCTGGGGTCTGCAGAGCACAGTTTGAAAACCCCTGGCTTAGAGGATATTCTAAAGATAATAAAGCTATTTCAGTGTTATTATGTGCTATTTTATTGTTCAATCATATTTAGATTTTTGGGGGTATTTTCAATTTTTAATTACATTTTAAAAATTTTATTTTTAATTTGTGTTTTTAATTTATTCATATGTCTGTTTAGCTACAGTTCGTTATTCGTCAGTTCTTCTAATGAATATACCTGTGAACTGCTCGTTAACACAAACTTCTAATCATCCAATCACAATGCATTTGCTGCAGTTCAAAGCGAGCATCAGAATGGGTAAGAAAGGGGATTTAACGTGGCATGGTGGTTGATGCCAGACGAGCTGGTCTGAGTATTTCAGAAACTGCTGATCTACTGGGGTTTGCACGCACAACCCTAGAGTTTACAGAGAATGGTCTGACAAGAAGAAAATATCCAGTGAGCGGCAGTTCTGTGGGCGCAAATGCCTTGTTGATGCCAGAGGTCAGAGGAGAATGGCCAGACTGGATCCAGCTGATAGAAAGGCAACAGTGACTCAAATAAGCACTCATTACAACCGAGCTCTGCAGAAGAGCATCTCTGAACACACAACACGGCCAACCTTGAGGCGGATGGGCTACAGCAGCAGAAGACCACACCGGGTGCCGCTCCTGTCAGCTAAGAACAGGAAACTGAGGCTACAACTCACACAGGCTCACCAAAACTGGACAATAGAAGATTGGAGAAACGTTGCCTGCTCTGATGAGTCTCCATTTCTGCTGACTAATTCAGATGCTCGGCTCACAATTTGGTGTCCATCCTGCCTTGTATCAATGGTTCAGGCTGGTGGTGGTGTAATGGTGTGGGGGTTATTTTCTTGTCACACTTTGGGCCCATTAGTACATTTTAGCATGGTACTATGTATTTAACATATGTCTGAGGAATATTCCCAGTATCTTGTTGAATCTATGCCACGAAGGATTAAAGGCAACTAAAGGCAACTGGGTCTCTAACCTGGTACTAATAAGGTGTCCCTAATAAAGTGCCGGTGAGTGTGGATATACATATATTTTTGTAATTAATTAATTATTTAATGTATATCTAAGTAGTCCTATTATTGTATTATATTTATTGTTTTTTTATTTATTATATTTACTTTTGTTTAATTATTCATTTAATTAATTCAAAGTTTTTGCTTCCCCTTGTATTATTTTTTATTAGGTTGTGTTTTTCATTTTTTTTTAATTTAATTTATTATAATTTTGGCATATTTTGGCACAACATAGGTAACTTTTTTTTGTTTAAATGACTTGTCGTAACAAAGAAAAGATAATTTATATATATATAATTTATATATATATAATTTATATATATATATATATATATATATATATATATATATATATATATATATATATATATATATATATATATATATATATATATATATATATATATATATATATATATATATAAAAAAATATAAAAATATATATATATATATATAGAAAAAAAAAAATAAATATAAAAATAAATAAAAAAAAAAAAAAAAAAAAAAACAAA